GGCGAGGGAGTTTCTCCGGTCAATCCTGTGTTTGTGTTGCATGGATGTGGGTTCCTCTGTCCATTCACAAGTACCTGTGGAACACCTGCAATGTGCCAGGCGCTGTGCTAGGCACTGGGGATGCCGCAGACAGCAAGGCAGTGGGTCCTTAGCTGTCGCGATCATTCTCCTGGTGTCTGCAGCCGGGGGCTGGTTCCCAGATGTCATTTTGCTCTGAGCTCTCTCTTGCTCAAGATGAGGAGAGGGAGGAGTCCTGTTCCCTTCTCTCTCGTCTTCCCATGACCCCGCTTCTGACGGAGGAGAGTATTTTTAGGACTTGAGGAACATCCGAGAGTTGGGAGGCAGGGGCCTGGACCTTGGCCACTGTTCATTCAGCAGATGAACACGTATGGAGCACCAGCTACATGCACGAGGACATGGAACTAGGCTCTGGGGAATCCAAACTGAGGCAGACCAAGCTCACGTGCCGGTGGAGCAGACAGACTGTGACCAGGTCCTTCCAATACCCTGAGGAAAATGCAGAGGAGCAAGAGTAGAGCCACGTGTACGGTGCCAGGGAGTCAGAGGAAGGAGTCCAGCCAACCCGGGAAGGCTGCCTGGAGGAGGTGACATTGGACTGAAGTCGTGAGCTACGAGTGGGCGGGGGGGTGGGGGGGGGTTATCAGGTAAAGAAGATCTGGAAGGGTAATGGCAGCTCTTAATCCAGTGTTTCTGCCGCCCACAGGGTTTCATCACCCTTCAGTGAAACCCTCCCAGGCTGTGAGAAAAAGAAGTGCTGTTTTTCAAAAGCATAAGGAATCATCCAAAAAAAAAAATCTGTATTTGTTTCAAATGGAAGTGACCACTGCCAAAAAAACAACCGTTGTTTTGTCAGGACCTAGTCTGTATTTATTCCGTTGTCTTTAATTAATTTTACCCATGGTTTCCCTCGGGACAGCACAGCTCACTAGTGGCCATAAATCCCCAGCCTCCTGGAAACAGCATGAAAGGCCACAGCCATGAAGCCAGCGGGCAGGCTTGCTGTTTGTGGGACTGTCCTTCTGGAATCCGAGCCGTTATCCTTCCGTTCCTACCACCCTCAGCACCCACACGGCGTGTCCGAGGGGACCAAGGACTGCAGTCATTCTGAGATTTGTTTAAAGAAGGGAACTGAGCCCAGCAGCATGGCTCAGTGGTTGAGCGTCGACCTATATACCAGGAGGTCAGGGTTCGATTCCCGGTCAGGGCACATGCCCGGGTTGCAGGCTCGATCCCCAGTGTGGGGGGTGCAGGAGGCAGCCGGTCAATGATTCTCTCTCACCGTTGATGTTTCTATCTCTCTCTGTCCCTTCCTCTTTGAAATCAATAAAATATATATATATATTTTTTTTTTAAAAAGAAGGAAATGGAGGCTGGCAGTCTTAGTTAATAAATGGAGTTAATAAAGGGGGGGGACTGACTTCTGGGTCAGGGCACCTTCTTCTTGGGGGATCGTGAGGACTTTGGTCCAGAAGGTTCAATGACTTTCAACCTGGCTGCACACTGGAGTTACCTGTGAGCGGCCGGCATCCCACCCCTGTGAGTCCCATTTAGGGAGGGTGGAGCTGGGCGTGGAGATTTTCTAAAGGTCCCCAGATGGCTCTCAGGGGCAGTGGAGGTCAGGCACTGCCATTTCTGTAGGGGGGGCTTGCAGTTATTCGAAGGTGGGGGTCCAGTCCCTTCCGGAAAGGAATAAGCATTTCGTGGCCTCTAACTACCCCTCGGAGGGGAAAGACTTTTGGAAAAGAGATCATTGCTTCAAGGTCCTGGTTCATTGTTTTTGAAATGCGAATTCAAAGGCGTTCTTTTGTAATGTGTTGATTTTTTTCTTTGTTATGAAAGTTCTTGTCATAAGCTCTTGTTGGAAAATGTGAAAACAGATCCTTATAAATAAGAGACTCACAGTCACCCGTGCTCCCACCGCTCCTCCCTAACCACTGTGAGGCAGGTTCCCGCTGGACACACAGAGGGGGGCAGAGCAGCAGCTGGAGCAGAGAAGAGGGGGGAACCCAGGCGAGGAGCGCCTATCCCCACCTCTAAAGATGGGCTTGGGGTTTGGGGGGTAGGTTGCTGCCTTGTGCTGAGTACCATTTCCCAGCCACCGAGCCTTCGTGCAGGAAAGCTCCCATCCCATCCCATCCCGGTCAGGGTGCCTAGAGGGAGACACAGGAAAGACATGGCTGCGTAAGGCCACTGCGATCCGCGCCAAGAGGGGAACGCACAGGGCTTCGCTGACCGCTGGTGGGCGAGGCCAAGGCTCTGAAGAGCAGTTGAAGGGCCTCGACTCAAGAGGTTAACTTCCCCGTCTGTGTGCAAGCCAGCCGAGGCCCTTTAGCCTGAGATTCGGAAAACTGCAGCTGTTCCCAGCAAAGCAGCGCTCTTCATGTCGCTGTGCTGGAAGCCCTCTACGGTCCCCGAGCGGAGAGGAGCTGTGATACTCCGAGAGGTATCTTTCTAAAGCGTGACTCAGGTGAAGTGGCGCCTCCCTTTTTAAGGAATTGACCTCGAGTCGTCCCCCCGGCGGGCCGAGGGGAGTTGAGAGTACCCAGCCTGTGGCCAGGCCCTCTGCCATCCGGGGTCAGTTGTCCTCCAGGTCCTCCCTCCTGCTACTTGCCTTGGACATGCGAGTGAAATTCAACTCCCATGCCTGTCCTGCTGTCCTCCGTTTCCGCAGTTACTCACACTGGTCCCCCGGCCACTTCCCTTTCTCTACTCTCAGGCTTCCCTGTCAGCGGGGTCAGATCCACTCTTGACCAGGGGCAACTAATCTCCTTTCTGAACGACTACTGTAGTGTCAGCATCTCTCGTGTGGGTGTCTAGCATGTTCTATCTTGTATTTTAGTTATTCAGGGTGTGTCTGATGGCCACTCTGGCCTTTCCGGTCCTCAGATGGGCTAGTTTGTTCTACCTCAGGACCTTTGCACGTGCTGTTCTTTCAGTCAGGAACACTCCTCCTAGAGCTTCCCGTTACCCCTAGAACACAAGCTGGTGACTGCAGGAACCCCTTTGTCTGTGTGGTTCACCCCTGTATCTCCAGTGCCTGGGACAAAGTAAGTGCTTTATTGATTGAATAAATGAAGAGTATCCTATAATTCGATTTTCCTTAGGTATCTGGCCTAGGCTTGGAACTAACTATAGATTTTATTATTCTTTAATAATTTTTGCATGAGCTGAAGAAAATGTGAAAACAGATCCTTACTGGTGTTTTCCTTATATCTAAATTCATTGGAAATCTCAATTGGATTTCCCAATTGGAAATCTAAGGTATAATTATTCCTGTAGGAAATACAGGAATTTGCATCTAGAATTTTTAAAAATCTACTTTATTGATTTGGGATGAAAATACTTCTTTTAACATTTTATAACCAGAATCCTTATTTGTGGGATCTTAGACTTAAGCATTTTTAATGTTATGATGTAGATTTTATTTTTTAAAATTATATAATGCATTTAGTAGGTAATGAATTAATCAGCTTTTATCTTTATCAATTTGATATTTCATATTTACCTAAAAGCATAATAAACTATAAAATTTAAAGACCTAGGAAATGATGTTAAAGTATAGCTATTGGATTCAGGCATTAATCAGACTCTCTAGTTAATTCATAGCTGTCATATTAACCCGAGAAAATTATTATTTTTTTAATATATTTAATCCATTTATTATCTTTGATTTTTCCTCCAACTTTAATGGTGAAGTTACTGGAAGACCTACTTATGAAACCAAGTCATTCTCCTTGCTGGGAAATAATGGCATCCTGTCAGCCCTTTTCTGCAAAGGAGAGACTGAAGCCTTGATGGACTGAAAATGCCTTTAATCTTTCACCCTCTGACATAGTCCTAGTTCCACTGCAGTAAATGCATTCCTGAGGTGCATTCTTTTTTTGCATCTGTTTTTCTATTGATTTTTTTTAGAGAGAGGAAGAGATGGGGGAGAGAGATAGAAACATCAATAAGAGAGAAACATCTATCGCTGCCTCCTGCACCCCCCTTACTGGGGATGGAGCTAGAAACTTGGGCATGTGCCCTGACTGGGAATTGAACCGGCAACCTTTTGGTGCATGAGATGACGTTCAACCAACTGAGCCACACTGGCCAGGGCCTACAGTGCATTCTCACATTGCATTTTAGTAAATAGCCAGGGCTCAGTGCTGTGTGGATGTACAATAAATATTTGAC